TTCCTGAATGAGACTAAGCTTACCGGCTTCATCATACCGTTCTTCATTAACAGCTTGCATCATGTTGCTCAAGAGATCGAACTCTTTTGTATCAAGACAAGGCTGACCATTTGGACTACACAATGAAAACAAAGTCTTAAAAGTTTGTACTTGTCAAATGCACAAGCAAAAGATCTTAAATGGTTAGTTTCATTAGTGTCATAGAATTACCGGTCTAGTTCAGTAAACAATAAACCATCTGAAGTAGGTGTCTGCTTTGATAGCTTTCCGGATTCAATGACTCTCATTCCATCACTATAAGCTAGATATTTATTAACTTGGATAGGTACCTAAAGAGCAAGGATAAAAGACACCGTTTTTCAATAGTGAATACGCAATTTATATCCGGTTAAGATGATCTCATGGAAAGTCATGTTCCCCTTGAAAAGAAAGAATTGAGAATATGGTTATGGTAATATAACTATACCTTGCATCTGACAGCTATATTAATTGCATCTGAAGGACGAAGGTCGAAGCTCATACAATCCGACTTATTACCCACCTGCAATCCCATAGAGCAGCCTTAGTAGAAGAAACTGAAATGAGATACTAATCGATTAACTGATTTCAAATTTGAAGACAACAATTGGAAAGAAAAAAAATGAATGGAAGATGCATTTCTAGGCCAGAAGTTGCAAACCTTTGAAATGTATAACTGTGTGAGATATGCCTCGTGAACTCATGTGGTAACTCTAACAAGCCTAACCTGCAGAAAAAAGTTGGAGCATTTTCTCCTCATAAAAGAAATTTTTTTTTTTTTTGATAACATGTTAATTAATATACCAAAATAACAGTTTCTGTTACAAAAGCTCGGCGAAGCTATAATGTTCCAAAAGGCCCCAAAAAAAGTGTAAAAAAGCCAGATCGAAACAAGGTGAAGAGTATACATTCCAGAAGTCAATTACTCATAGGTGAACCAAAGGGAAAGCAAATTCTCAAAGTGCTTACGGTGAATGCGGGCAATAATGATGTCTTTGGTACATCTATCAATTTGGTTGAATACCACTTGAGTTGATAAGGCTGCTCCATCATGCAAACAAGAGTTTCTTTCTTTCCACAGGTAGAAAACCGTGACCTGAGATACAAGGCAACGTAGAGTAGCAATTGGTTTCGGAGAAGGATTTGACAGCCACCTCAGTAGATCTGACCAGTCCCGCAGCAAGGCAAGAGCTGAATTCCGATTTCTGTGGGAAGGAAGTCTCCAACCTGATAATGAGCAAGCCGCAGCTACTGTGGTAGATTCCTGAATACCAAGAAGACGGGGACCGTCAGGGCCAACAAGATCTATGAGGGGACCAATGTCAAGCCAATGGTCAAACCAGTAACTAGTCAAAGCACCATCTGAGAGGTCTTAAATTAAGCATACTCTTCCAAATCCAAGAGTCAGTTGTCGTTGGTTTGGTGGTCCAGAAACAGTGATTCTTAAGTCTATGTTTTCATAAAAGAATTTGTATTGCAACAAAGGAAAAAAAAGGAACCGTAAGGCTTGCCTCGTAACCCATTTTTGTCTACCATCTCCTTCACCACTTGATACATAGTGGGTCTTGCCTACACAACCAGTAAACCAAAAACAATCCATAAACCTCTCTCTTCATTAATCTTGACTGATTCGAACAGTAGCATAACTCAAGAATAAACAGAACCGTACTATTTGAATATTTGTCATCGCTGCCATAAGCAACACACTAGGCATCTCCACTGCAATGAATAACCAGAGAAAGGATATTCAAGTCACGCATTTGAGATCACGATAACTAAGCTTGCAAACGAAAGAATGCGTTAGATTTATCACATACAGACGATAATGGGAAGAAGAAGACCGGTTCCATCTTCCATTTTCAGCACAATTGCAGAGTGTGGAGCATAATTTGGAAGATGCCCTCCTTGAGGATTGTTATGTACACATCCAAGTTGCCTCCCATCTCTCATCTTGACCATGAAACCATCTGCTCCACTTCTGACCTCAACTATGTACAAAAAAAAAAGATCACATCGATGATTAGAATCAACATACAACAAGAGATAGTACTCATGGTTTGACTACTGTTTAACCAAATATTACCAGTTTCCAACACACTAGAATTGACATAATCTTCATCATTCTCGTTGAAATCCTCTGCGGTGCTTCCGGTACCATCAGAATGAGAGTTGAAAAGACATTGTATACTCTTACACCTCCGACGAGTGACTGTTTTAGCAACCTCGGACTTGACATTTCTGGTCTGATTACCCAAGAATTGGTTTCTGACGAGTAACCTAGGTTTCGAAACAGAGCAGTTGACACACAATTGTCTGAGACGAACATTAGGGCAAACAACTGGTGCTTGAAGCGACGTCATCTTCTCTATTTTCAAATGCCAAAAACCCAGAAAAAAATTCAGAGCTAAAAATGGAATCTTTTACACAACCAATTTGAGTAATTTTACAAATACACTAGAAAATATCAGAAAAAGAAAAAAGGAAACAAACTTATCAAATGGTGCTTTCATTGAGAGGTAACCTTTGTGGGTTTACCAATTTATCAATGGATTCGGAGCTCAAGTTTCCTCTTGATTTAGGACGATCCAAACCCAGAAGATTCAGTGCTGAAGATATCGAGTTGTTCAGATGCACTCGAGTTTTCGAGAGTGGAAAGAGGAGTTAAAGTCACAGCTAAAAGCGCAATTAGAAGAGCCTAAAACGCTTGAGAACGTCCAATCGTTGGAGCATATTCCTGTTTTACAGGTCCATGGCGCTTTGGATCGAGACGAAGATCGATCCAAAACGGAAGAACAAAAGCTGATTCTTCCTCTTGGGAATATTGTCGAACACCTGGGGTGCGAACCGTCTCGGAATCAGCAAACGTTGCCAACGATGAAACCATCCGCGGAACCTGAAGCAATCAAACTCGATCCATCTCTCGGGAAATAATACGTCGAAAACCTAGAGGGTAAGCTTTCTCAAAGGGTTTGTGCTGAATCGAGGCACTTGAATAGTCATCTAGCACGGAAACATCTCGGAGTTAGAATGATTCCGGTCAAACGAAGCTACCACAAGGCTCGGAAAAAGAAATCAAGTAAGTACACACCACGTCCTGATTTGGAGCAAGCTTGTAAGAGCTATGGTATGATTTGTGTCTCAGTTTTTGGAAAACGTTTCGAGAATCGGAGGGTCGAGAAAACACGCTTCAAAGCAAGAAGATTGATAGTTGATACAGGTGTGATAGGGGATTCTCATCTCTTTGGTTATGGGCTTCGCTGAAATGATCCTACAAACCCACTTAATCTTAATGATCCAATGAAGAAAGAAGTTGTCAGAGATTCCTTAGTTCATAGTAGGTCAGCTAAGGTTGCTAGTGAGTGGGAACAAGAGTATCTAGATGGTGAATATGATGGTCAGAAACGCAAGGAACCACACCGCAATGATGATCGGATATTGAGAAAGGATTTAGGTCAATTGCAGGATCACCTATTTCAAATTCTACAGAGAAAGATTCAGGCCCAATCACCAGAAAATCGATGGTATAATTCCAATCAGGTGGAGACAATTTTGGTTGATGCGATCCAACACGCAAGAGCTCAAAGACCTCGAATCAAGCTTTTACAACAGTCTTGTTGTGATTACCCGATGAAGAATACGGCTTGTACCAATGGAAAACAAGTTATAGATTCAGGACAAGCTAATAGGGTATGGGAGCGAGGCAGATTATGGGTTGGAAAGGTATTGTGTCTAGAATTAGACTCTTGTGAGTACAAGAAGCAGAGTAAGTTGGTCGTTGAGCAGTATTTCTATGCACAAGTATGTGATAGTTTTCATGGAAGTGTTGATGATATTAAATGTTCAGCATTAGGAGTATGTACAAGCGAGAAACAAACCAATAGCTTGTCACGGATTTCTTGCATTGGTTGTGTGTGGGATCCTGGTGGAATTTCATGTTCAAAAGCTCAGGAGATTTGGTTAGGGACTTATTTTCCTGAGTATAAGAAGCTTATTTGGCTGGTCGTAGATCAATGGTTAGGGGTGCGAGAGTTATATGCTCTTCACAGAGGTGTTGATGATAGTGTGTGTCTACCATTTGTAATCTGTTTTGGCTACAAACGACTTTTCGATCCAGGAGGAGCTAATTGTGATTGGGAGTTTCGGAAGATGATAGTATGTGATGTGTTGTGCTTACCAATCTGCCTTGGAGTTCATAACAGAAGCTTTGATGCAGAACTAAAACAAAAATTGATGAGTACACATCAATGTCTAAAGATTACGAACTTATCTTGGTTTAAGAAGAGAAATGGGAAAGGAACAACAAAAATGGTAATTTGGTTACCTACGTTCCTCTCATTCATTCACCTTGAGAACAAGGTGCGTTTCTCAGGGGCGAGTAATGATATACGCAGAGGATGGGTTAGTGAGGCAGTAAAGAAGAAGGTAAGAAATGTCAAAGATGATCTCAAGATGGTTAAGACTAGTTTCTTAGGAGATGTTAGGGTCACCTTAGCCATTTCTATGAAGGCACTAGAGTTTCTGTTGTGGAATCTAGAGTCATTGTTGAAACGAAGACATATTTATCAGAAATGGAGTGCTTGCCCAATCGATCAAACTTGGCTGGAGATCTTTTATCAGAAAGGGAGAATACTAGTGTGTATCGGCAAACCTTATTGCTACTTGATGGAGGATCATGTCAGTGGGTTCAATTGCCAAAATTCTAGGCAAAACGTGGTTCACAGTCTGCTGGTAAATGGAGTTCGCAAGCACCGAGGAGAAACAATGGAAAGTTTTCATGGGGGTTCTCTTTTGAAGTTCTTAACAAGAAAAGAAGCTAGAATTGATTCTCCCAAAGGAGCTAATGTTGTCTCGTCCATAGTGGAGGACTTTGAGAATCCTTCAGTTTCAATCTTCACCTATGAGATGTTCCATGCTCCAAGACCACCATAGCTATTATTCTGCTATTTGGATACAATCAACCTTCATGAGGTGGATTTAGAACAAAATGGCAGCTAAATTAGGTCAATTGAGTCGCTTGTGTTCTATTTACGTTTAGGTCTTCTTTTCTTTCTTATGTAACTAGAGGTTCAAACTCCAAAACCGACCTTTTGGATTTTTCGTTTATGAATTTATGTACCGATGTAGCTTAGCACACCAATTCATATGAGTAATAAAAATGTTGTTTGATGTTCAAAATATATATACATATCATTTGTTTCGGCCTTTGTTAACAAAAGAAA